TTAACTGAGTGAGCCACCCAGGCACCCCAACATTTTTATTTTTATTTTTTTTTAAAGATTTACTTATTTATTAGAGAGAGAGAGAAAAAGAGTGTGCATGTGTGTGGGGTGGGGGGCAGAGGGAGAGGGAGAAAGAGAATCCTCAAGTAGTCTCTGTGCTGAGTTCGAAGCCTGACTTGGGGCTTGATCCCAGGACCCTGAGATCATTACCTGGGCCCAAATCAAGAGTCAGACGCTCAACCAACTGAGCCACCCAGGCACCCCCCATCTTACAGTATAGTAGCATTAAGTACAGTCACGTTATTTTGCAACCAATTTTCAGAACTCTTCGTCTTGCAAAATGGTTAACAGTTTTAAGTGTTGGGTTTGTTTTGAAATTTCTTTACATATTCCGATATAAATCCTGTGTCAGATATATGCTTTGCAATTATTTTCTCCCAGTCTTTATTTTGTCTTTTCAGTTTATTGTGTAGCTTGAAATCAGTTAAGGCAGGAGTGAATTACTCCACATTAATTAGCAAATTGCTACAAATCAGGGCTTGATTTATTGTTTGTTGATTGTCTATACTTAAGAAATGGGGAAAGTGTTGGGGCATCTGGGTGGCTCAGTCATTAGGCATCTGCCTTCGGCTTGGGTCACGATCCCAGGGTCCTGGGATCGAGCCCCGCATCGGGCTCCCTGCTCCGCGGGAAGCCTGCTTCTCCCTGTCCCACTCCCCCTGCTTGTGTTCCCTCTCTTGCTGTCTCTCTCTCTCTCTGTCAAATAAATAAATAAAATCTTAAAAAAAAAAAAAGAAAGAAATGGGGAAAGTGTTAATAATGCAGATTAAACTTAAAATTACATTGTGTTAGTAGCCCTTACATTATAAAAAGTGTAGGAAAGTATGGAAGGAGATATTCCTTCTAATACTTGAAAACTGTTACCTAATCAGCAGAGAACTCATTCATGTCAGACATATGTCTTCATTATTCCAACCTTGTCAGTTGCAACCATCACTTGGCTATGGATATAAGAATTAGCGTGAAAGCATTCTGTGCCAATCAATTGACTGTGTGGAATTTGCGATAGAATTATATATTTTTTGTTATTTGTAAATTGTGTGGTACATATCTTTTTATCTCAGTAGAGTTTATATTAAGCTTATTTACACATGTATACATTTTTTTTTTTCTGCAGAGACAGTTGTTAAATATTTACCTGCATACCACTGACCACACACTAATAAATAAGCGCCAGGAAAATATGTTTTAAACTCATGTAACTTGAATGAGTCAAAAAATAAAAATGAGGTCAGGAAACAAAGTCATTCCATAGGTGATAAGAGAACCAAATCTAATTCTGAGACCAAAAAATGAAAGGGATGAATAGTAGGGAAAGAAAATGAAAAGCACAATACACAGAAGGCCAAGTCAGTTCTCTTATTACTAAAGACACAGAAAAAGTGAGTTATTTTCTTCTAGGAGTTTTATGGTTTCAGGTCTCACAGTTAGTTCTTCAATCCATTTGGAATTTATTTTTGTATGTGGTGTAAGAAAGTGGTCCATTTTCATTCTTTTGCATATAGCTGTCCAGTTTTCCCAATACCATTTGTTGAAGAGACTGTTTCTTCCCTATTGTAAATCCTTGCCTCCTTTGTTATAGATTAATTGACCATATAAGCGTGTATTTCTAGGCCCTCTATTCAGTTCCATTGATCTATTTTTGTGCCAATACTGTACTCCTCCCCCCGCCCCGGGGAGCAAAACATTAGCATTTATTTGTTAGTTGAGCTTTTTTTTTTTTTAAAGATTTTTTTATTTATTCATTTGACAGAGACACAGCGAGAGAGGGAACACAAGCAGAGGGAGGGGGAGAGGGAGAAGCAGGCTTCCCGCCGAGCAGGGAGCCCGATGCGGGGCTCGATCCCTGGACTCTGGGATCATTACCTGAGCTGAAGGCAGGCGCTTAACGACTGAGCCACCCAGGCGCCCCGAGCTTTTTTTTTTTTTTTAAAGATTTTTATTTATTTATTTGACAGAGATAGAGAGCACAAGTAGGCAGAGAGGCAGGCAGAGGGAGAGGGAGAAGCAGACTCTCCACTGAGCAGGGAGCCTGACGCGGGGCTCGATCCCAGGACCCTGGGATCATGACCTGAGCTGAAGGCAGACGCTTAACCGACTGAGCCACCCAGGCGCCTGTGCTTTTTTTTTTTTTTATTAATTTTATTTTATTATGTTATGTTAGTCACCATACATTACATCATTAGTTTTTGATGTAGTGTTCCATGATTCATCGTTTGCGTATAACACCCAGTGCTCCATGCAATACATGCCCTCCTTAATACCCATCACCGGGCTAACCCATCCCCCCCACTTCTAAATCCCTCAGTTTGTTTTTCAGAGTCCATAGTCTCTCATGGTTTGTCTCCCCCTCCAATTTCCCCCCCTTCATTTTTCCCTTCCTACTATCTTCTTCTTTTTTTTAACATATAATGTATTATTTGTTTCAGAGGTCCGGGTCTGTGATTCATCAGTCTTACACAATTCACAGCACTCACCATAGCACATACCCTCCTCAATGTCCATCACCCAGCCACCCATCCCTCCCACCCCCCAGCACTCCAGCAACCCTCAGTTTGTTTCCTGAGATTAAGAGTCTCTTATGGTTTGTCTCCCTCTCTGTTTTCATCTTGTTTCATTTTTTCCTCCCTTCCCCTATGATCCTCTGTCTTGTTTCTCAAATTCCTCATATCAGTGAGATCATATGATACTTGTCTTTCTCTGATTGACTTACTTTGCTTAGCATAATACCCTCTAGTTCCATCCACGTCATTGGAAATGACAAGATTTTGGTTTTTTTGATGGCTGCATAATATTCCAGTGTGTGTGTGTGTGTGTGTGTGTGTGTGTGTGTGTACACACACCACATCTTCTTTATCCATTCATCTGTTGTGGACATCTAGGCTCTTTCCATAGTTTGGCTATTGTGGACATTGCTGCTATAAACATTGGGATGCATGTACCCCTTCGGATCCCTACATTTATATCTTTGGGGTAAATACCCAGTAGTGCAATTGCTAATACCATACTCTTTTAATTACTACAGCTTTGAAATCTGGGATTGTGATACCTTCAGCTTTGCTCCTCTTTCTCAAGATTGCTTTGGCTATTTGGGGTCTTTTGTGGTTCCATACAAATTTTAGTATATTTGTTCTAGTTCTATGAAAAAATACTGCTCATATTTTGATAGAGATTGCTTTGGCTGTAGAAACATTTTTCTAGCTATCTCTTTAGGCAAGGGAAACAAAAGCAAAAATAAACTATTGGAACTATGCCAAAATAAAAAGCTTTTGTACAGCCAAAGAAACCATCAACAAAACAAAAAGCCTATTGAATGAGAGAAGATATTTGCAAATGATATATCTGATAAGGAGTTTATATCTAAAATATATAAAGAACTTCTACAACTCAGTAACAAAAAAACAATCTGATAAAAGTGGGCAGAGGACCTGAGTAGACATTTTTCCAAAGAAGACATACAGATGACCAATAGACACATTGGAAAGATGCTTAACATCACTAATCATCAGGGGAGTGCAAATCAAAACCACATTGGGAAATCACCTTATACCTGTTAGAGTGGCTAGAATCAAAAAGCCAAGAAATAACAAGTGTTAGTGAGGATGTGAAAAAAAAGGAACCCTCTTGCACTGTTGGTGGGAATGCAATTTTGGTGCACCCACTGTGGAAAACAGTATGGAGGTTCCTCAAAAAACTAAAAGTAGGGGGACTTCTGGGTGGCTCAGTTGGTTAACTGTTTGCCTTTGGCTCAGGTCATGATTTCAGGGTCCTGGGATTTAGCTCCTCATTGGGCTCCCTCCCTGCCCAGTGGGGAGTCTGCTTCTCCCTCTGTCCCTCCCCCTATTCATGGACGCTTTCTGTCTCTCTCTCTCAAATAAATAAATAAAATCTTAAAATAAATTAAAAGTAGAATTGCCACATGATCCAGTAATTCTACTACTCGGTATTTACCCAATGAAAATGAAAACACTGATTCGAAAAGATACATGCCCCCCCCCCACGTTTATTGCAGCATTATTCACAATAGCTAAGATATGGAAGGAACCCAAGTGTCCATCAGTATAGATGAATGGATAAAGAAGATGTGATACACACACACACACACACACACACACGAGCACACGGACACACACACACAATGGAATATTAGCCATAAAAAGAATGAGATCTTGCCATTTGCCACAACATGGATGGACTTAGAGGGTAAAAATGCCAAGTGAAATAAGTCAGAGAAAGACAGATACAATATGATTTCACTCATATGTAAGATATAAAAAAAAAAAATGAACAAAGGAAAAAAAGAGACAACAAAACTGACTATTAAATACAGAGAACAAACTGGTGGTTACCAGAGAGGGGGATGTTAGTGGGATGACGGGTGAAATAGATAAAAGAGATTAGGAGTATACTCCTTGATGAGCACAGAGAAATGTATAGAATTCCTGAATCACATATTATACACCTGAAACTAATGTAACACTGTATGTTAATTATACTTCAATTTTTAAAAAGTATAAAAATAAAAAGAAATTAGAAAAAGAAGGTGGGTTGTTTTTGTAGGATATTTATTTTGGTCTGATTTGACCAAATTATTGCTATGTAATAGTCTGCTAATAATATTGAAGAGGAATGTTCAAAACTCACATATTATTAGTATTACATTAGCAACTTCAGGTAAGCCTGGAATATCTAAATTTAATTTGTTCTTAAGACCAAAAAAAATTACAAAATACCTTTTAAAATTTAAAATTGGAACATAGAACAATTATGTGTTTTCTGTTGTCTGCTAGAATTTGCACCATTAGCTACATTGCTTTTTTATCTATACACTCAATTCTGTAATGTTTACCGTAGTTATATTTCTTTCAAAAGGTTTTTTCTTTTGAGAATATCTTGATTTTGAATCTGATGATTAAGTTTAAAAATATTTTGTTTTGTAGCCATGCAGGATATACGTACTGTGGGTCTTGTGCTGCTCATGCTTACAAACAAGTGGATCCATCTATTACGTAAGTAATACACAGTTTTGTTTAAGTGGGAGAAGGTTGGGAATTATAACCACTTTGTCACAGAAGTAATTTGTTTTGGCATGCTTATTGTTATATACTTGATTTCATTAGGAATTTAACTTTTTATATATTTATTATACCTTATATAGGTTATGAAAAGCTTTCATACTGTTTTTCATTGAACATTTAGTTTTTACTTTTCCTTTTGTTGGTAATATTTTTAGTTCTGGGAATATAGGAAGGTTAAATATTTTGGTTTTTATTTATTTATTTTTATTTATTTATTTATTTATTTTTAAAGATTTTATTTATTCGTTTGAGACACAGAGATACAGAGAGAGAGAGAAAGAAAGCATGAGCTGGGAGAGAGGCAGAGGGAGAGGGAGAAGCAGGCTCCCTGCTGAGCCAGGAGCCCGATATGGGGCTCCATCCCAGGGCTCTGGGATCGCGACCTGAGCCGAAGGCAGATGCTTAACCATCTGAGCCACCCAGACGCCCAATATTTTGGTTTTTAAATTTTTTTTTTTTTTTTTGCAACCAGGAGATGGGCATCTTTAAGAATGCAAAGTGCTTTGTTCAATGTTAATCAGTTTGTAATTTAAAATTCTTTATTTTACTTGTTAAGTTGTGGTTAATGAAAGAAAATAATTTCTCATTGGCATGATGAGGTAGCTGAATTATTTTAGAATCTGACAGTGAATTTAATATGGTGTTTGAAGTATGTTAGCTCTTAATGAGAGCTCTGAAATTAGCTTTAAAATTTTTTTCTGGCAGATTGAGACTTACTACATAATATACGGCTCTCTAAAATAAGAAATTTGTGAACTTTCCAAAGCTTCTGCTAGAAATAACTACCCAAATTGCTTAATCTGCTGACCAGCATTTTATTTAAATAGTTAATTCACAAATGCGAACCAGTGTCAGGCTCCAGTGTGTATGCTGGGTATACACACTGTGCGAATAGGTGAAATAGTCATCTCAATCCTGTCAGCTGTTGATTGTTAGGCTAGACGTGTGTTAGTAGAGGTGACACATAGTCATTCAAAAGAAGTAACTCACAGTAGCCCTGATGTAAAAAGAAAGTCTCTCCCCACAGCCTCATCCTTTGCCTTTGAGCAACGTGTTCATATTTTTAAACAAAAGAGCTGTTCTTTTTTGTTTTTATGTAGTGTGCTCTGCACATTGTATCATACCTTTGTTGGAAATTATTTTTAGTAAGTTTTTAATAATAAATAAAATGATAATGTTGCCAAATTGATGAGGTTTTGGTTAGCCCTGCCTCATTTATGATGTTTTGAGGAGTGTCTTTAATACGTACTTCTTAATACATATTTAATATACAATTTCAGGTAATTTATTTCGTGAGTAAGAACAAAAATAAATTAAATTGGAAAGATTTTCAAAAGTTTACCTCATTTCGGCCTATAAACAACTATAATCAAGGTTAGTTAATATGACAGCCTTTTCCAAGCCTATTTGATAATGTTATTTTCTAGAACAGTACTCCTGAATTAAATTTGGCTTAGTAATATATAGGGAGATATAGAACCTATATTGGTAGATGCAGAAAGCATGTATTAAATAAGTTGATAGAAAGTTTGAATGGAATGAAAAAGAGAAAAAGGAAGAGAGCCAAGGACTAAGATGATGATAAAGGAGGTGGTAAAAAGAAAGGCAAATGATGTGTGAAGATGTCATCAGCTTATTTTTGTAATTAGTGTATAATAATTGAATTTTGAAGGTCCAAGCATTAAAAATAATTGGTAATCATAGCTATATTCTTTTAAAAGTGGCCCTTCTTGAGACTGGCAATGTTCCAGAGTCCTTTGAGAAAAATAGAGAAAGAACATCTTTCTGGGAACTATGAGAAGTTTAGAGAAAAAATAACAGTCCAAGAGAGAAGATTAAATTCTCTTCCACTAGCTTCCATTCTTACCTTCCACATTAATCCATTCCCTGCATGTCAACCAGGATCATCTTTTGTACTGTCTTGTGCTTTGAATGGATCTTTTACCTTTGCATGATTTGTAGTATCTTACATGGAACATTTAGAAGATATTCTTTCTTTTTTTTTTTTTTAAGATTTTATTTATTTATTTGACACAGAGAGACACAGTGAGAGAGGGAACACAAGCAGGGGGAGTGGGAGAGGGAGAAGCAGGCTTCCCACAGAGCAGGGAGCCTGATGCGGGGCTCGATCCCAGGACCCTGGGATCATGACCTGAGCCGAAGGCAGACGCTTAACGACTGAGCCACCCAGGCGCCCCTAGAAGATATTTCTTAATTGAATTATGCAGATCTTTTGAATGTTGACATTTCATCATACAGTGCCAAAAAATCACATTTGTTAATATCACCACAAATTTCATCAGGAATATCTTTATTGGGAAGCTGTCCATCTCACAGTGATAGAACTTTTGCAAAAGACTAATTTTCACTTAAAAGCTTCAGTTATGTCTTGGGCAATGTTTTCTTCGAAGTTGGCAGGCCCATTTTGTTCATTTTCTAGAAAATTTCTGCTAGATACCTAAATTGGAATAGCCGTAATTTGTCTACAGTCATTTTTTGAAGTACAAATTGTGTTCCATGAAAAAAAAAAGTCTAGTTTAGATCACACTCATAATCACACAAATGTTTTCCCCAAGACATAATTCTGTATATAGCAAAAGTGCTTTATGCATTTATCACCACCAATTTAATACATTTTGTTGTACAGAATATTTTTATAAAACTGTACTCAGAATTCAAGATTTAATGAAAGTAAGTGAAACTGGCCTAAAAATACCCAAAAAGCTTGGTGTGGGTGAAGGTGAAGAATACATGACTAGCAGTACATTTTGATTCCATTACCTTGATCACAGTTCTAATGTGCCAGTGGTTTACCCAGCCTCATTTTTGTACCATAAATACAAATGTCAACACAGTGGAAAAGGCAAATAAATTCCTGATTATTATGAAAATAGTTTTGATTTTGTGGACTTCTTGAAAGGGTCTTGTGGAATCCACAGTTCACAATTTGAGAAGTGCTATGTTACAGGGTGATTGGATTTAGATTATGGGTGTTGGGGAAGGCATTTCTTTTCTTTTTTTTTTTTAAGATTTTATTTATTTGAGAGAGAAAGAATGAGAGACAGAGAGCATGAGAGGGTGGAGGGTCAGGGGGAGAAGCAGACTCCCTGCTGAGCCGGGAGCTCGATGTGGGACTCAGTCCCGGGACTCCAGGATCATGACCTGAGCCAAAGGCAGTTGCTTAACCTACTGAGTCACCCAGGCGCCCCGGGGAAGGCATTTCTGAGGAAATGATTTTTAAGCCAAGCCAAAGGGACAATAGCACTTGTGAAGGCTTTGAAGTAGGCTGAGTTGTGTTCCAGTCATAAAGGAACTGCAAGACCAGTAAACATAAACTATTGTGATTAAGAGGTGGTGGGGTGGGGGGAAGTAATGCATGATGGGGCCAGCGCATTTGAGACTTCAGAACCCGTTTTAAGGAGTTTAGATTTTCTCCTCTAATTATGAAAAGTCATTGAAAGACCTTTTAAGCAGGGGAGTGATGGGATCTGATTTATGTTTCAAAAGGAGTACTTTGGTTGTTTAAGGAATTTAAAAAATGATATATTTAAGTAAGTTGTCATATTTAGTGCTGCAAAGTCTTTTGCTATTACTAAAACTTTAATTGAAAACCTGGAACTCAGGATGTACTTAGATAGTAACTTGATTTTGATTCATATCTTTCAGAAAGCCTTTCAGGGTAGAAAAAAGAGCAAAAGGAATCTTCTTTGGGGCCATATGACATTTAATTTAGTTAAGATATCTCTACTTGCCAGGAAACATCTTTAAAAAATTACTTGTATTCCATTATTTAGAATAAGTAGTTGAATATTTATGAGGGCAGATACTCAGGTAACTTATTTATTGGTTGCACAGCCCTATACTTCTCATAGTAAGTAACTACACAAATGTGATTTCTCTGGAGGTATTATACATAAACTACATTTATTTCTAAGAAAATACCTCTTGACTTTTTTTTCATATTAAGGGTTTTTTTTTTTTTACATGTGTGACAACAGTGATGATATGCTAATATTTATCAGCTATTCATTTAAAGACAAAGCACTTCGCAATTAATTGAAGGGAGAGAAAGTGGCATTGCTTCCCATGCTTATATTACTCATTTTTCTCCAAAATATTCCTGTGGCCTTGGTGTTTATGGATCTAGCAATCTAGCCCCTCCCCCCAAAGAAAATGCATTATTTTTTATTTACATTATTAATTTTCTTTTTGTTAGCATATAGCTAACAAAGAGATCCATTTTTAGATTACTAATATGCACTTTTTCCCCCTTCCTTTTTCTTTTTTTTTTTTTTTTTAAGATTTTATTTATTTATTTGTCAGAGAGAGAGACAGAACACAAGCAGGGGGAGAGGGAGGCAGAGGGAGAAGCAGGCTCCCCACCGAGCAAGGAGCCCGGTGTGGGACTCGATCCCAGGACTCTGGGATCATGACCTGAGCCGAAGGCAGCCGCTCAACCGACTGAGCCACCCAGGCGTCCCTTCCCCCTTCTTTTCAATGATGTCTAGCCTATTTTTTGGTTTATTTTTGGGTTTATCACTTATAAGGATTTCATATTGATGTGACCTAAACCTCTTTTTCCCTCTGTTGCATATGAGTGAGTTTCTGTTAGACTGGACACAGTTGTCTAATTCAGGCGGTGGGAGCTCTTTTCTCCACCAGTCTTATCTTTTCATCTAGGTTGGGTCTGGCAAAGAAGGCCAACAAAGTAAATAGTCTGATATTGCAGGGGACAATTAGGCTTTCCAAGGTGACCTTCAGTGTTTATTTCTGGAGTAGTGCTTGTATTTTGGTCACTATTAGAACCTTGTTACACTTACCTAGAAATGTATCTGTGTCTTGAGTTTAAATTGATATTTTAAAAGTCATTTCATATTTTAGTTATATATGCTAGATTTCCTAAGAGTGTTCTGATTTTAAATATTCTATTCCTCTGTCTTGTCATAGAAATGCATTCCTCAATCATGAAAATGCCTTCTTTTTCATACTTGATTCTTGGTTCATGTAATACTTGTCCTTAGGCAAGTCACCTAAACACTCAACCATGATCTATGTCCCTTTAATTAAAAAACTTGTGATGTTTATGTACTGTTAAGATAGGAGAGCATAATGGTTACCACTTTTGTTCATTTAGGAGTCTAAATTTGATGTGATCTTTTTTTTTTTTTTTTGGAAGTGGCTGTTGACTTTGCTAATAGTGGTGATGATAAGAAGTAAGTATTGGCAGTGGAGGAAGGGGATGAAAAGACTAGAAGTGGACTGTGGATGAAGTCTTATGTTTGCTATCTGTGACATCTTGAGGAAATTTTGGGACTCTAAACTGAGAATCTCTGTTTCCCTTATCTACATCTTCCTTACCGTCCCTCCCCCCACTGCAGCAAGTAACATATAGCAGACAATAAGTTAATTTTCATAACTGTGATTGAATTTTATGAAAATAAATATATTGCCTAAGCACATTCCTTGGCTTGCAAGTTTTTGATATGAAAGAACTAGCTCATGTCTCAGTCTTTGTCCATTAATTGAGCAATGAGTATAATTAATTTTTTCTAGGTACATAGCTTATCATCTATTCCCTTCTTTCTCCTAGTTTTGGTTTTTCAAAAGTAAATTTGTATGTGTGTGTTGGGGGTGGGTTTCGTTCATTTGAATCTGGGAGAACAGAGAAAATGGATAGTTTTGGAATTTAGATTGTAGTGATGTTTGAGATAAAATGAGGGGAAGTTAATTTTACTCTTGATGTCAAGATAAAGGAATTGTAAAGATTTAAGCTATAGTTTAGCCCCCTTCTTTAGCTACAGTGCAAATAGCACATAATCAAGTTTCTTTGTTTTTGAGAATGACTTCTATCTACTTGAATGGGAACAGGGAAAGCTTATTATACAGAATATTTCTCAACAAGATTCCTTTTTTTTCTGCTATGGTAGAAATGTGGAAATAGCTTTATCAGAATGGCTCTTTGTAATGATATTTTGTAGGGAGTTTTAGAAATTATACTATCATGTATTTTTATTAAAGTTTATTAAAGTTTATTGAAGTTGGTAGATCTTAATGAGGCAAGTTTAGAATGTGTTAGAATATTGAGATTTTATTTATAGCTGAAATGTTTAAATTCAATGAATATAGCTATTGAAAACCTCCTGTATCCTAGGCATTATGAATGCAGAGATGATTTTAAGCATAGCAGTTGATTTACTGTAGGTCATTAAATCAGTAACTAGTATGCCCAGGTGTTGAAAATGTTGTTTTGTTTTTTTTTTAAATGGTCCAACAAAAAGACAAAGATAAGGAATTGAACTTAATTAACTGAGGAGCATATCAGTTGTGGGTATATTAGTTTGCAAGCACTGCCATAATAAACTATCATGAAGTAGGTGGCTGAAAACAGAAATATATTTTCTCTCAGTCTGGAGGCTGGAAGTCCAAGATGAGGGTGCTGATAGGGTTGGTCTCCTGAAGCATTTCTTCTTGGCTTGCAGATGGCTGTCTTCTTGATGCCTCTTCACATGGTCACCTCTCTGTGCATGTGTGTCCCTGATATCTCTTCCTCTTTTTATAAGAACACCAGTCATTGGATTCAGGCCTTATCCGAATAGCCTCATTTTTACTTAATGATCTGTTTTAATACCTTATCTCCTAATATGGTTACATTCTGAGGTACTGGGGTGGAACTTCAACATAAATTTTAGGGGTACGTAGTTTAGCTCATAATAGTAGGTAATGAAATCAGTCAAGAAAGAAATTGGTGCCACATGTGATTTTTAAAAATTACTTATTTTTTTCCCTTTTATTTAATAAGGTTTGTGTAGAAGTACAATTGTTCTGTGCTTTTTGTTGTATATCTCCTAGCCGGAGAATTTTCATCCTTGGGCCTTCTCATCATGTGCCCCTCTCTCGATGTGCACTTTCCAGTGTGGATATATATAGGACACCTCTGTATGACCTTCGTATTGACCAAAAGAGTAAGTATATAGAAATCTTATAGCTTTTAAACAGCTAAAGATTTTTTTAAAATAAGTCAATTAAAAAAATAAAAAATATGAATATTATAAGTAAAATCTCAGTTTTAAAGATAAATTGATTTCAACTTATTTGCAAAAAGCAAAAACAAAGAAAGAAGATCTTCTGTATGCCTAAAAGACAACTAGAGTTTTTTTTGCCAGCCACAAAAATCTGTCAGATCACTAGTCTCCAGCCTGTTCATATTACATGTGTATTCATGGAAGTGTCTTGTACTCACTGTACCACGAGACAAGAAATTAGTACCCACAACAACTTGAAGAAAGATTCTGGGCATGTTCGTCTGACTCTATTTTACTTTCCTCATTGTAAATAGGTCATGATGATAATGCCTTTATTTCTTCTCAAATGATTTTTATGGGGGCAACAAAAGTGAAACACTGAAACAAAGGTGCTTCATAAATCTTAAGTGTGTTTTATTTTTAAAACATGTCTCTTATTTTGATATATATTTTCCATAGGATTCTAGAAATCACACCTTTTATTTAGTTGTGTCTCATTTTATACATTGAATGTGTAAGTTAAAATCTTTTGATTTTATAATAGTATTTTTGGAGGAGTGGGGAGCATAATTTTAAAAATATAGAACAGTAGAGAGAATAGTGAAACAAATATTCTTGTACTTACCATCCACAATTGACTCAGAATTTTCCCCTTAACTCTGTTTGCTTTCCCAAAAGCCATCTTCATGAGCTTGCTTTGTATTCTTCCAGTTCATCACTTTATATTTTAAGTATGTTGGGTGCTTATTGTTTCAAGAAATCTTGGAACAAATTCTTCTGTAGGATGAAAGAAGCCATTTGCAAAATAGACAATCACCTCTTTTTCCTTAATTTTTAGGCCTAATTTTTCATAAATGGGGTTTTAATTATTACTGAGTATTAGTAATTTGTTGTTAGAATAATTTTTACTAATGAAACTGGAGTATAACTAGCTTCATTACTCCCTGTGATGCTTTTAGGGAACACACTTTATTTTTAAAACCTTGTTGGGGCATTCAGAAAATTTTGGTTTTAGATAGCTTCCTAATAAAGGAATGGATGATATTTAATCAGGTATAATTTTGCAGAAAAATGTCATGCCATCATTTGTCTGTTTCTTTGATATTGGTAAGCCCATTTAAGAATGTAGTTATAAAAATGTTGGTTCTGTTTTATGATAAAACAAAAATATTCTTATATCACTTTTTTTACATATTAAATTTCATCTTTTTCTTATTATATCATATCAATTTTTAAGTATGATTCATCAGAAGGATCTGAATTACTAGATCATTTTAGAATTATTTATGGCATGATACTGTGGTGAATTTATGTCCTGGTCTGTCCCAGAAGCTTAATTTTTAATTTTGAGGAAAATAGCATGCTTAATAGGAATTTTCTGTTCTTTGTATGGCAGACATCTGAAATGGGAAATAATAATCCCATAGATTTTGTTATAAAACAAAACAAAACTTAAAAACTGTATCATTAACCTCACGAGTAGGTAGAGCAGTGGCTTTTCCATGTTTTATTAGGAGTTCTAATCAACTGTGTTCTTGTTGGCATGTGCTACTTAAGTCAAGAAAAAGCTTAGCCCCAGAGGTAATTAGATGTAATAAAAAGAACTGATGAACATTTTAAATGATTATTTTTATATAACTGTGTAACATACGAAAATGCTGAGTAGTCATCACATGTATTAGTGCTTTGTTCGGTATGTAAAAAGCTAGTTTTTTCTTCTTTTTTAAAGATAAAAATGAAGGAAAATATTATGTGGTCCTTCTGTCTCTTGCCAAAGCATGTAGTTTTTTGTTACTGAATGGAATCTCACAGAATAAGGATATACATTAATATGTCTGTTTTACTATATTTTGAAATCTCTTTAGTTTACGGAGAACTATGGAAGACAGGAATGTTTGAACGCATGTCTCTGCAGACAGATGAAGATGAACACAGTATTGAAATGCATTTGCCTTATACAGCTAAAGCCATGGAAAGGTATATTGATTAATATAAGAAATCCCAGAGAAATCATAAGTATTAATTTCTTTGGAATTATTTTCACTGGGTAAAATAATCATTAGGATAAAGAGATTTAAAAAAAATTTTTATTATTTGAGGGATGGCTGGCTCAGTCAGTAGAGCCTGTAACTCTCAATCTCAGTGTTGTGATTTTGAGCCCTACACTGGGTGTAGAGATTACTTAAAAATAAAAAAATCTTCTAAAAAATTTTACTATTTGAAATGATGTAAAAATTTGAGATTGGATGTTTCTAATGTGGATTGAAGTTGGTTTTGAGTAGTTTGCCTATAAAGGCTGAACATGTGAATTGACGTGGTTTTTTATTAGGTGATAATGTTTTAAAAACCTGTGTGTGTATGTGAGTGGGGTGTGTGTGTGTGTGTCTGCCTTTTATTCATTAGACATTTATCTCAGAATAACATTCTTTTATGCTATAAGTAAGTAATCATAAAATTTTAGATTTGGAAGTAACATTGGAGCTCATTTATTTCATCCTTATGCAAAGTACCTGAATATTTTTTATGATATGCTTGGCAGGTTATTGTTATTGGTACTTGCTAAAGGTCTTCCAGTGGTAGGATGCTCATACGACTATTAAGTAGGATGAGGACAGGGACAATACCTATTTTATTCTCCACTTGTATCCCACTGCCTAGCACAATGCCCATTTCATAGTAGTCATTAATTTATTTTGTAAAATGAATTTTTTAAAGAGTTTTCTTCTTTTAGGGCAGTATTCAAATTAGAAAGTCTTCCTTTTGTAGGTCACATATGTCTAATTTTTTCTTTTAAAGATTTTATTTATTCATTTGACAGAGATAGATACAGCGAGAGAGGGAACACGAGCAGGGGGAGTGGGAGAGGGAGAAGCAGGCTTCCAGCAGAGTGAGGAGCCCGATGCGGGACTCGATCCCAGGACCCCGGGATCATGACCTGAGCCAAAGGCAGATGCTTAATGACTGAGCCACCCAGGCGCTCCTAATTTTTTCATCCATTTCCTTTACATGGACTTAATATTCCATATATAGTTTGACTAGTTCTAAATATGGTGAGATTATTCCTTCCCTGGATCTTGTCATTATATTCTCTTAGTAAAATACATGGTGTATTATATAGGTTTACAGTAAATATTTGTTAATTAAATGTATTAATGAAGTCCAAGATCACATTGACATTTTTCATGTTGATATGGCTTACTTGCTATTGGCTAATACATTTGTGGCCAGCTAAAGCCCAAGGCTTTTTCCTACAGTTAAGTTGGATTATTTTCTCTCTTGTACTTTTGTGGTTTCTTTTTAACCCTTAGTTACTACTATTTACTTTTTCCTTGTTGGTTTTAGTCTATTATGGCACTCTTTTTGGACCATTTCTACTCCTAATTCTGTTATGAGAGAGTTCTTTAACTTCTCTCATTCCACAACTATTCACAATGGTAACTGTGATGCACTGTGTAAACCTGAAGATGTTTCCAAAATATCAGTGTGATATTAAATTGTAAGCAGTATAATTTTAGGTTAGTTGTGTTTTACCACATTCTAATCCTTCAGAAATTGTTAAACCAATATATGCTGTTTATTTCCTGGAATGCTTGTATAATCAGGACATTCCATTCTTCAATTACATAGAATAATATAAAACTTTTGTTATTTCTTGAAATATTTGCATATTTTGTCATGAGAAAATATATTTTAGACTTAAGAAAGCCAACAATATCCTTAAGGAAGTTTTAACAAAATAATATTTTTGTTGTTATTTCAAAAGTAAAACGTGTAATGTTGAAAATTTAGGAAAATAGTAACTTAAAATCAACCAAAATTCCTGTTCATAATTCCCCCTCTGTTAAATAGTGTTAAATAACCACTATTAAATATATCACTTCTCAAGAGATCTTCCCTCTCTCCCAGATTACACTTGCATCTCTAATACTGACTTTTAGAAAGTACCCAGTACTTTTCCTTTGTAGTCTTTGCTGCACTCACTACCTGTATTAGTTATCCATTACTGTGTGAGAGATTGCTCCAAAACTTAGTGGTTTAAAATCACAACCATTACTCTAAAAATTATTGCTTACAAATTTTAGGTCAGGAGTTTGGGCAGGGGACACCTTGCTTTGGTCCATGAGATGTTGACTGAAGTAAGTTGAATGAGGCTAATGGATCCAAGATGGCCTTGGTGTTAGCTTTTATTGAGACACCTCATTTCTTCTCTAGATGGTCTGTTTGTTCATCAACCAGGGCTTTTCTCTCTTCTTGGCTTCTCTCTAGAAGGATAGCCTGCTTTTCTTTACGTGGTGATTTAGGGTAACCAGAGAACAAAAACAAAAGTTCTCTGTCTCTTAAGGCCTCGGCCTGAAACTACACAGCATCATTTTTATCACATTCTCTTTTTAAAAGCAGAATACAGTATTAGCCAAGGTTTAAGGGAAGGCGAATTAGATTCCACTTCTTGATGGGAGGAGTAGCATGTGTATATTCAGGAATAGGAGGAATTGTTGATAGCCATCTTTGCAGATGGACTATGTCACAGTTCTTCTGATGGACAATTCAGTGTCTCTCCACCATGCAGTACTCAGTCCTCCTAAGATGCCCAGAAATCTCATTCAGTTAGGACCTCAGGTTCAAAGTCCATTACCTTATGATCTGCATTAGGTCATGATGTGGATGAGGCTTTCTGGGTGCAGCTCCTCTTGATTTGGATACGTGTGAACTAAAAAGACAAGTTTTACCCCACCTGCCATTCACTCCATATACAATTTTGAGACAGAAATTTAAAAAAAAATGTTTTTAAAGATTTTATTTATTTATTTGACAGTGGTCGAGCACAGGCAGGGGGAGTGCAGAGGGAGCAGCAGAGGGAGAAGCAGGCTCTCCGCTGAGCAGGGAGCCTGACAAGGAGCTCGATCCCAGGACCCTGGGATCATGACCTGAGCCGAAGGCAGACGGCTTAACTACCTGAGCCACCCAGGCGCCCTTAGACAGGAATTCTTAACCACACAATAGATACTCGCTGTGGAGCGTGAAAGAATGGGAGGCATATAGCAGCCTGTGATCCAAAGCAATTCTGAAATCTAGTCAGGGAACAGAGAATGTTCTTTGATTAGGGCTTGTTCTGACTTGTAGTAGTGGCTTCATAATTCCTTACTTTTCCGAGCTCTTGGGGCTAGGTCTTTTGGGCTCTTGGCTCTACTTGCTGACTCATTTTTACTTCTCCATGAAATGGGCCTTGTTTACACCTGAGTATTCATTTCTGTCTGCTTCATGTACGTGACACTTTGAAAACTTAAAAGCCTCTTTTCATTTGGAACAGTGTTTATTTTAGTCTAAACTGGTAGAACTCCATTAAACATTGTGGGTTTTCTGTATATCAGATTATAAGTGCATCCCATTAGGCAATAGTCACACCCACACAGTTCAGTGAGTGACAGGACTCTCTCTACTTTGGATCCCAGTATAGGGTCCTGTAAGGTTCTTGGAAGCTCTTTTGCCTACCTGAGGGAGAATGTAAGCCTGATCTTTAGTCTTTCTGTGGTCTTAATAAAGGATTTTACAGATGAATTTTTGATTTGATGATTGTGAGCCCATGATTTATTGGCAGTACTCTGGATTTGATCTTTGTCTTCATGTTGTTTCTTTGACAATCTTGCTATCTGTAGAGGCTAGTGACAAGAAACAGCTATTTTCCAACCAAGCAACTCTTGTTTAGAAATATTTCCTTTAAATTCTGCTTGTAATTCCTCAAAGCTCATGTTTTTCTTTTTTTACCTTCTCATACTTGGCTACAAAGTAGCCAGTGACACTTTGAATATTTTGCCTGGAAATCCTAGCTAGATCTATAATAGGTTCACTAGGTATATTTTTAATGTCCCAAGTTATTATACCTGTGATCATTCTGCTGATTGTTCTGCCCATATATAATATGGGCCCCTTTTCTTCTGGCCTTGTGTGGCCGTTTCCTTACTGCTCTGGCAGTTCCCTGTCTCCTTCTCGCCCTTCCAGCTTCTGCCTGCCTCAGTGTCCTCAAAGCCAGTGTTTTAGGTTTCTGTTCCAGTAGTACCCTTTCCAAGCACCACTTTTTATCTCACGTATTGTAGCATAACAAATCACCTCAAAGTGCCTATGTTTTTTGCTTATGACTCTGTGAACTAGAAATTTGGTCAGGGGTGAGTGGTGACAACGGGCCTGTGTTCCATCTGCTGCCAGTTGAGGCAAGCTGACTTAGGCTGAAGGCTCTAGGGCACCCTCACTTCTTGTCTGGGGCTGCGATGCCGGTTGTCTACTGAAGCACCTTCGTTCTTGTCTCGGTGCTCTCCATCTCACCTGTTGTCATTTATCCTTCAGGGCCTCTCTCTTCATATGGTATCCCTCTCCTCAGATAGGCGTGGACTATCATGAGGTACATGGCAGTTGAGGGCAGCAAGAAAGCAAAACTAGAAATTTTCAGGCATCTTAATATCTGGGTTTGGAACCGGCACAGTGTTACTTAGGCCACATTCTCCTCACTGTAAGTTGCAAGGCTAGGTTCAAGGGGAGGGAGAAAGAGATTCTACTTTTGATGGGAGGGGTGACATGGGCATTCAGAAGTGGGAGGAATTTTCAGGGATTATACTTGAAGATAGCTTACCATAGTACCACTGTAATTAAGTAGCTCTTTTGGTGATTGCCTGCATATGTCCCCCTTCCTTGGTAGTCCCCTACCTGCTCCCTGCCTGAGGACAGCTTGTTTTTACTGTACTTTCTGTGCCCAGCTCAGGACCTGGTACACAAAAGGATTCCCGTAATTAATTTTTGAATGAATTAATAATGATCTTCCCATTATTAAATATTAAATTTTTTCCCAAAATGAGGTCAAATGTTCTAACTGTGTTTCATATTATAGACATATTTTCATGTCATTTTTACTTCTTTTTATTGAATATATGTAGAACTTTCTAGAGTATGTCTGTATAATGCTTTAATCATTCGACCATTTAATTTTC